AAATGAAAAAACTTGGAAAAAATTATATTAAGTGAAGTAAGCCAGGCCCAAAGAAACATAGGTCCCATGGTTTCCCTTATTTGCAATACCTACTATATGTCTGGAAAAAGTAGAAAATACATATGACCAGATAAGATGAAGTTAAGCAAAATGAACCTCAAGATAGGGGCACAAGTGTTTTTTTATTTATTGCTATTGTTTCTAACATATTTATAAGGTACCATGTGATTTTTTGATGCTTTGTATGTCCCTCCCACCATGTAATAACCCATTTTTACTGTATTTGATGTTGGTATGATTTGTGGAGGGGAAGGGAAAAAACAAAATGTTTAAATAGGGATACATTGTAACAATGATATACAAGACATTAGGTTAAAACAAGGAGGCAACAATGCTTGATAAGAAATGTACTCATTATCTTGCCCATGTAATTGTAACTCCTCTGTACGGTATTCTCACAATAAAAAAAAAACACTACCACCATGTTTGGAAAAAAAAACACTAAGTTGAAAAACTTTATAATCAGGTGGCTGTGGGGGGGGAGTGTAGTTGTAGAGGAGGGAGGGAAGGGATAGTAGGGGAAAAACAAAGGAGGATGCAACAATGCTTGAGAAATGTACTCATTACATTGCTCATGTAACTGTAACCCCTCTGTATAGTATTTTCACAATAAAATCTTATTAAAAAGAAATATATGTTGACTTACAAATATACATAATCTCCTTTTATTCACTGCAAAATACTCCTCCACACAAAAATAAAGGTGTATTTAGATAGGGGGATACCTTCAACTGACTTAGGCTTTTCAGAGTAAGCAACGTCAGTTTTTAGGTGATCTGATATTTTGGCTCTCAACTTGATTTTCTTCAGTGGTGTAGACTACAAGGTCTCTCTCCCTCATCTGTGTCTTCTTTGGTAACCATTACTTGTCCTCTTTTATTTCCTCTATATAACTCCTCTATAACATTAGGCTTCTCTCACCAATAGATCTCTCTGAAAAACTATGCCTTTCCATTCCTGGTTACGCAATAATTTCATTTTTTAAATTGATAGACAAGTGTTAGCATCACAGCATCTCAACACAACTATATCTCAACCCTCCACTTAACAGTCTCAACAAATCTGACCCCAGATGAGTAAGTCACAGCAGAATATCAACCCATTGACTTTATGATCAAACAAGAACATAGACAACAGCCTATTAGGAAGACCACAGTTTCCCAAAATTTAAATTTAACGGATTTCCAAATAGGCAAAACAACTCACAGGGAAACAGGAAAAATGGCAAGTCAAGGAAGTTTAATTCCCATAGATAATAGCCAGACAATAGAGCAGACAATCAAGGGCCTAGAAGGGAGTCCTCAAAATGCTTTAGAAAATACTACTGATAAATATGATTGATGAAAAGATGGGAAAATCTACATAAGGTAATTCATGCATGGGAGGAGACTAACCAAAGATTATTGAAAGACTTCATGGAGTTTACAAACAGAAAGCTAAATGAATTCCAGCAGAATATAAGGGAGTCCAATGAAAAAATAGTCACCCAACTAAAAGACATGAGAGAAGACACTGATATGATAAAGGACGTAAAGAAGTCCATACTAGATCTAAAATAAAATGTCAGTAAGAAGACAGAAGCCATCAACAATGACCAATTAGAAGTCAGGGAAATTAAAAAAAGTAGAAAGTTGACAGCAAAATAGATGATGTAGAAGACTCAGTCTCAGATTGAAGACAGATGCTTTCAGTAGAGAGAATGACATTGCACCATTTGTAAGGAAATGGAAACACTTGGAAAAAATTACATTAAGTGAAGCAAGCCAGGACCAAAGAAACATAGGCTACATTGTTTCGCTCTAGAATATCTCTAGAATAGTTCTAACAGAGGATCACAATAGCTCAATAGCTTTGTACATATGACCATATAAAATGATGCTAAATGAAATGAATTCCAAGATATGAAAACAAGAGGTTTTATAATCTGAGTCTTGTATATAGGTTGATTTGATTTGGGGAAGGGAAGGGAATCACAGAAATGTTGAAACAAAGCATAAACCAACGCAACAGTGATACTCACTAGACACCAAGTGAACTTTATAAAAAGGGAAGTTGAGGTGGGAAATGGGAGACAATGAGGGAGAAGGTAAAACTCTTCAAAAAGAAATGTACTCATATATGTATGTATATATACACATATATATGTGTATATATATATATATATATATATATATATATATATATATGGAGAGAGAGAGAGAGACTCAAAAGAAAACCTAATTCAAGACTGATAAATATGGAGTAAGGAGAAATGAATTTTGTGAACATCCATGAGATGCTTATCTCTGATTAACCACCCTCTCTCCTAAAAGAAAAAAGCCAGAAATGGAGCAGTGGCAAACTTAATCAAAACAACCTAGGGATAGTGCCTAGTAGCTGAGTTCAATCCCTAGGCCCAGGCATGAGCCCGCCCTGCCCCCGCCCCCCCCACACACACACACAGAGAGAGAGAGAGAGAGAGAAAGCATGAAAAGGAATAAAAAATATAACAATGCAATTATTACTGATTTCACAATTATTATAAAATGAATCTCTGACAAATTGCCAATATAGAGATAAAAATCTGTCAATGTGTTTTGGGGACTGACATTAGCTCGAAGACTCCATACCATACTTTCTTACAGTGTGATAAGTTCTGAGACCAGCAGATGAGAATATGTCAGTTTTGGAATGCTTCTTTTTATTTTTATTTTATTTTTTATTGTGAAAATAACATACAGAGGAGTTACAATTACATGGGCAAGGTAATGAGTACATTTATCAAGTGTTGTTACCTCCTCCTTTGTTTCAGAGCATTAAGTTGTATTTCACAGAAAATAGAATTTAATGCAATAGTCTGAATAAGAATGGAAATAACTCATGTTTTTATTCCTTTTTGTTGCTCTGAATTAGCCCCTATCTTTCACATGCTAAGCATTCTTTTCACCATTGAGCTATAACCCAAAGCAGAAGGACGTGTTTTACAAGAACATTTCTTGAACTCTTCAAATCTTCCCATTTCTATCTTGGCTAAAAGGACCATTTAACATATAGATTACATCTCAGTAACAGTAGGTAATTGTATTGTAGGGATTTTTTCCCAATGGAGTAAACATAGTAGGTCATTTAGTCCATCCCCATAATGAAAATTCATGATGTTTACATGACCATTTAAGTAGTAACTGTTCTGGGAAAGTAGAACTCAAAGCATAATGATCATTCCCCCATTACATTAATTCAGAATGAGACATTTGACACCATATCTTCCGCATAGCCATTTTCATCTCCATGTTTCTCAGAGTATATATGAGAGGATTTAGCATGGGAGTTATCATTGTGTAGAACACAGAGATTTGTTTATCCTCATTAGCACTTTCCACAGGTAGGCTATAGGTATAAATGCAAGGCACAAAAAATAGAACAACCACCATTATGTGAGAGCTACAGGTAGAGAGAGCTTTGTGCCGCCCTGCAGAGGATCTTGTCCTAAGATGACATAAAATGAGTATGTATGAAGTTAACAGCACAGTAAAAATTACAACTAATACTGTCCCCGAATTGACAATCGCTAAGATGCTAACCACATGGATATCTTTGCAAACAAGTTTCAAAAGAGGCTTGACATCACACATGTAATGGTTTATCACGTTGGGACCACAGAATGGTAAATTCAGTACCATGAGCAGTAATGCAAGAGAATGCCCCAAACCAAGACCCCAGGCCATGGCGATGAGCAAGTTACACCTCTTCCGGTTCATGATCACCATGTAATGCAGTGGCTTGACAATGGCCACATAACGGTCAAAGGCCATGGCCACCAAGATGAATATTTCCACACCCGCCAACCAGTGGCCAGTGAAGAGCTGCGTCATGCAGTTGTTGTAGGAAATGTCTCTTCTGGTTGCAACCAAGTCGCTGATAAGTCGGGGAGCCACAGTGGAGGTGTAGCAGAGGTCCATGAGGGAAAGGTGGCAGAGAAAGTAGTACATTGGTTGCTCTATCAGATGACTGCAGGTGACAGTGAGGATGATGACAGAGTTTCCCATTATGAGTGTCAGGTAGCAGAGCAGGAACAAGAACAGAAACACTAGTTCTGTTTGCTTATTTCCAAAAAGTCCCATCAAAACAAATTCAGTAACATTATGTTTTTCCATGAAGTCAAGTTGATTCTGCCATTCACCATAGAACTCAATTCATCTTAAATTATACAGAGTACATTTTGATTGATGTGTGTGTGTGTGTGTTACTTTGATTCAAACTCAGATTATCTTATTTCTAGTGTAGTGCTTTACAACTTGAGCTACATCCCCATTTCTGCTTTTGCTGAATTTTGGGGAGCTGGGGTCCATCAAATTTTGTGCCAGGACTGGCCTTTAATGGTGATTCAACAGGTCTTGAATTCCTGTGTATCTAGGATTGCAGTTATGAGTCACTGGCATCTGGCTTAGAATACAATGCATCTTTAAAGTATTTTTTTGATTTGTAGATATTTATAACTAAGAAGAACTCCACAGAACAAATTTATTACAAGATTCATATCTTAACCTTTTTACATGAAAAGGCATCATTTTATTCTGAATAGTATTTAAGGAAAACATAATTTTTGAAAAAAACTTTTATAAAAACTTTTTCAGAAAAATACAATTTGACTCTCATGGAAACCTAATAGTCACTGTTCTTATATTTGTTTTTTTTTAAAAAAATAGTGAAGAGGAGGTATTAGAAAGTACGTGAAATAATTGAGATATTATATATCATCTAATATATGAACATATATCTGATGGAATACATTCCCTGTTTCCATAAGCTGTTTCACATTATCTATAGTCAAGTAAAATTCTAACTATTCTCTAGTGCTCTAAATAAATAGAATATTATGCTAAGTGATCTTTGATTGTTAGGTATATAATATTCACAAATTCTATATTCCTTGAAAATTATACATGTAATTTATTTATAAAATCCCAATGTTGCCTCCTAAAATGTCATATATATATGAAAACAATATTTATTATTGACAAATAATAAATAAATAAATATTGCAATTCTCTTAATGATAGAGGAATAGCTTGGGTTAGGTGATAAAATTTTCGGTATTTCTCCATGGCATCTTTGGTCACGTTCCAGATTTGGATAGGCTAGCAATCAGGATACTGAGGTATCTAATTTCAGTCATCTAAATAGAGGAACACATTGCTTTTAATTTTGTAAAAAGCTTTCACTCACTCCCACAAACTCTGTCAGAAACATTTTAGAGAGTTATTCATTTTCTAGTGACACTGGGCAGGGCATAGAGTATTTTAGACATCTTATGCTATGTGTCTAGAGCAGAGGGTCCCTGTGTTGAAAACATAGCCTGTTGCCAATAATTAAATATCTGCCTTCATACGAAAGACTGTTGACTTTAATGTATTTGTGTTTTCTCACTGAACTCTGTGGGAGAACAATGTGATTGATGTCTTAGACAGATCCCTGAGTAAAAAATCAGGTGGAGGAGGAGGAGGAAGAGGCTCTGTGAACTTCTTTATTCTTGGAGAATAAATAATAAACAAAGAAAATAAATTGTCATTTTTTCTGAGACTTTCTAGCTAGTAATTAGAAAGAACTCTGATAATCTACTTCCCTTATTTATTCTACAATAAAATAAGTTTGCATAATTAAAAAGGCTAGCAAGTTTACAGAACAGTCCTAACTTATGAACATGCACTGGAAAGAAGAAAATGATCATAAATACAGAACATCATCTTCATATCTGCAAGGTTTCACCTTCAGTGGAATTTGTGTTCTGCTCCAAGAAGGGTTGAAGGACTTTAACCACCCACTAAAAGGGTATTAATATAATTCTTTTGTACTTGGTTGAAGTTATGAAGACAAGTCTGTGAGTTAATAACAAAAAAGGAATCATTGGATAATTTCTAATTAAGATTACAGATTAAAACTTCAGAAATACTGGAGAGTCTTTTTAAAAATGGGGAAAATCCCTATGATTGTTCCAACATATTTTACCCAATATTGGTGCAAACATCAGTGTCTCTTAAAATATACATGTGGAGTTATCATATAGCTTTGGGATGTTGTCTAGGAAAACAAAGACTATCATGGCCAGAGTTGATTCAAAGAAATTAGTTCAATGAAACCTAGGGATTCTCCTAGAATCTCCTAGAAACTTAATCACCTTCTTCAAAGCCCTTACCATCTTGTAATACACTGAAATCTCTCTTTGCCTCTCTCTTTGCCCTCCATCTCTCTTACCTCTCTCTTCCCCTCTTTATCCCACTCACACATCCCATCTACATATATACATAATTCCACATAATCTTACATGGTTTTAGAAATGAAAAACTTTAATCATCACAGATGCATATCTTGTATGCATCCTATTATTTCTGCTTTTCCAGAAAGATCTCAATGATGTAGCATTTCCCTAAATATTTCAACTAGTGTCAGATGGGAAGAAAAGAAAGAGAATATTGAAGTACAAAGGTGGGGAAATAAACATAGGATTGCAATCTTAAGAGCACATAAATTGTGTGAAGCTCCATCAAGAGTCTTATGTTTTGATGTTTCCAAAGAGTTTTAATATCTGGGCATTGAACACTGTGAAATGGAAGAGTGCATGCTTAATTATCACTGCATTTAAATAAAAATGTCTATATACCAAATATTTGCAATTAAATAGTTTCAACCATATGTCACTCTTACCTTCACCATGAACCAAGAGCTTTATATTATTTTATTATTGCCTCTGGCTTCCAGAAGTGTTATAGGCAAAGGATTCACAAGTCTTAAGAAGTAGATCTACACCTAAGCCATGTTTGTATGTTCTGGTGCTCATAAATTCTTACTATGAATACTTGCATTTGAGCAAATACAGTAAAAAAATCACTCTCAATTTTGTTTGACTTGACTATTCAATTTTCCTGAATGCCTTATATATTCTCTTGAAAGTAACCATCAACAAAAACATTATATATATATATATATATATATATATATATATATCAGAAGAATTTAACACCTACCATAGTATAGGTTGTTCCAAACTTCAAACATTTTACCCCAATGTAAAGAAAATAATCTATGCTAATACTAGTAATTCGGATTTCAGATTTTTGGAATGTTAAGATGGGCCTTCATGTTCAACCTTTTTACTTTTCTGAGTTGAAAACATGAAGGAGATGTGAAAAAATCCTGTCTCTCCCATCAATCTTGAGACTAAAAGCAGCTTCTAGTGATACATTGCTGATAATACTCTGAATTAAAAACTAAGGGGACCCCAGAGGACAATTCTTATGAGCATTGTTATGAGTCAAATGCATGTGGAATAGTAATTATAAAGGTGGATTCAATAACAATAAAATAACATTACAGAAGATTGTGAAGCTTTCTATCATTTTCTCTTTGGGATATAACTTAAAAAAACAATGCCTATAATGTTATAGCATTGGTGAAATATTAGAAATTAGAAATTATTTTCTCTTTCCCAGAAAAATCTCCTTAAAGAATGAATTCACTGGTGCTCATAAAATAAATATTTAATAAATCTTGAATCATGCATCATTTAATAGCAATATTTTGCCCAGAAAGAATGAGAATCATCATTATATTCACCAATATCATCTAAATTACTACCATTTTCATACAGGATTGCAAATATTATTCAATATTTAAGTATGAGCATTGGAAATTTAGAAGCTATGAACATTATTTTGTGTTCATACATATTAACTAGCATTAGATGAATGGCTAGTGATTGGAAAATATCACTATATCTAATTAACTTTTGTATTAATTTTTCTGTTTATGTGTGGCTTTGTTTGGTCCCAGCCTCCTCCTTGAGTAAGAGAAGGAAAAAAAAACATATCAATTGAACCTAAACTGAACCGAATATATAAATCATAGTCCTGACTTCATAATAGCCCATTCTCAAAGGTTTAGGGAAGGCTACTCTACAGGATTTCCTTGTTCTAGTTTTTATATTGTACAAAATACATTCATGAAATGTATTTGTATCCTATCCCCCTATCTTCTTGTTTGCCTGCCTTCCCTTATTCCCCAGGTCCTCCCAACACAAAATATTTCCCAAGTGAAGTTGTTATCTTCTTATTTGTTTGTTGTTTGCTTGTATTTACGTATTTAGTATCTCCACATGAGGGAAAATACGTGGTATTTGTCTTTTTGCATTTGACTTATTTTGATAATTTATATGAGAAAACATACAATAATTTTCTTTTTTATTATTATTGCTAAGTAGTTGTACAATGGAGTTGCCATTCAACAAAGAAGTTTGTGACTATAATGCATCTTTACCATACTCCCCCGTTCTTTTCCACCTGTCTCTTTTCTCACTTTCAGTTTTGGAGGCCATACATTGAATTCTTGGCTGATTTCTCCCCACTTCTTTCCTTTGGTTGTCTACCTCTTTCCCTTCTCCCATGCATTTCAAGTATTACCTATTTCTTGGTGTTTATATTCTTAAGCTTTGATTTTGACTTTTTAAGGGATTGTACTGTTTGAGTTGAATCTACTTTATTTCAGTTAATACATATTTTTCTTTCCTAACTAGCATATTGTGATTAAATAATCTCAGTTTCATCCAATTTCTGCAAGTTACATATTTTCTTTGACTAATGCCTGAATAGCCCTCAATTGTCTATAAATACCACATTTTTTTCTGTTCATTTCTCTGTTTAGGACAACTCATCTGCAGGTTACTAAGGTCTGGGGGAGTTAATCATTGTTTGCATGTAGGTCAATTGTCTGCAAATTTAAATCACTTTTGCTATAACCTCAGGAGTCCTACATATCATGGTTCTGTTTTTTAGTTCTGTTTTTAGTATTTAGATGAAATGTCATACTCATTTCTAATTATATTTCTGCACTAATTACATTTCTATCAACACAGTATGAGATTTCTTTATTTTTTTTATTTTTTGTTCTTTCTTTTCTTGATAATTGCCATTCTGACCATGGCAGGAAGGGTGGAATCTCAATGCTGTTTTGATTTACATTTCTTTTATAGCTAAAATTATGGAACATTTCTTTGGGTGTTTAGTGAATATTAGTTCTTGCTTTGGAAACTGTTCAATTAATATCCAATATAATTTATTCTTTTGTTTAATATTTTGCAGTGTATATATTACAAATATTAATC